CTTGAAACCATTCTTCCATGGAACACATCTTCCTTCCCATCTTTACTATTGACAGCTCTTCCACTTCACTGTTGCACCACCATTAAAGAAGTCCAATTAAAGTGAATCATGTCATAAAATCAGTATTGAGATCAATAGGGTTTTCAGTTATGTCACCCACCTCAACTCCTGGTTCAACCGCCCTGTTTCTTAATTCAACTTGCTATTTAACACTTGTCACCTCTTTACTCCCCTCTTCAAAATTAAAGTTTTCCGTGGTAGTGTTCCCAACCACCCGTGCAAAGGTTCTGCTATGCGTCAGAGGGGTTTCTTGTGTTTTAAGCCTTTGACTTTCCATATGTCCCAAGTCTTTTTGGCTCCCCAGAAGCTGTTGACCCATTTTAGTATAACTTCTAGTCTTTTTTGAATCCTCTAATATGCTTCTTCCACGTACAACTTCTTCCTCAAACTCCTCACCTCCCTCCATTCTAGCTTCCTTCCACAAGCCTGCTTCAATGAAGGAAGCCAACCAGACGGAAACGAAAATACCCTCCACTCTTATTTCCACCTTCCTTGGTATATCTTCAAGCCTCACTCAGCTCAGGAGAATAGCTGCAGAATGGAGGTCTCCTTAGTAAGCACCATCCAGTCTCCCTCCACACATAAGTGCAATGACATCTGCTACGTCTTGCTTCCAAAGATGGAAAGGCAATCCGATTATCCATACCAGAACCCCATCTTCAATAGAGAAGTTTTTGGCATTAGAGAGAGGATTCCATCTGAAGATTGTAATAGTTCCTAGATCAGTCTGAAAATTAACTACTGAGAAGTCTACTATGTTCTCCCCAAAATCAACTAGAGCTTTACATTTATCAAAGAGAGTTACAATAAACTCACTCTCCAGCTTCAGATTCAAGATCAAGTAATCTGCAACTCTCCTCCAGTCAACAGATTGCAACCCTACATCTACTATGAACTTACTAATCCATTTTTCTTTCTTTGAATGTTCCATCACCTGCACTGTCCATTGGCTTTTGCTACAATTACTGACTCTTGCTCCATGTTTCCAGACATACTGGACCTCTGATACACCCCTTCTTCCCTCCCTGGACTCCCCTTTGTTACTTTTACTCCATGGAGCAAAAATTCCTCAAGCACACTACTCACTTCCCTCCAACCTTGACACTGTCTTCCTGCTGGGAAACAAACCAGCTGTTTCTTTCCTCCCTAAAAAACTCAGCCAGAGCTATGTAGCAGCCCGTTGTATTCTTTCTGCTTTCAACTATATATTTCTTACCTTCATCAGCTGCAATCTCTTGCCTGTTGTTTTGCTTACCATTCAATCTTGCCCCTTCCACAAACTTCTGCAGGCATTCCACTACTTCTATCCCAGTCAACAGAACCATAACCCTCCTTGCTTCCCTTATTTTCAAACTCAGCTTTCCTCTACCTTTCTCTTCCTCAAACAGGAAGTACTTAGCTTAAACTTTCAGATTTCTTCTCCATCAACCTGCCTCCACAAAGCTTCCCTCCATTGTCATCTTACTGTTACCACTGCTCAACGTTTCACCTTCCTCCCTCTTCTTATTTGGACACCACATTTCTGCAGGAATTTTCAGGATTGGGAGATAGAGAATGCTACCAGCTTCTTATGCTTGCTCCAAGATACTCAGCTAAACATAGAAAGGGAAGACGGTAGGGTGTGGAAGTGGGAGTCTGGCGGCTGTTTTTTTCTGTTAGATCCTTTGTAAGCACCTCATGGAGAAAATGAGTATCGCATTCCCGTCCAAAATTGTGTGGAGACCCTAGCTCCATCAAAAGTTTGCTTTCTGGTAGACAGAAGAACCAAGGGCAGTCTGATTAGGAGGAGAATAAATATTTAGGATTTGCCCTGTATCTTGCGCATCAGGAAGAAGACATGATCGACCACCCCTTCATACACTGCCAGGTTGCATTTCATGATTTGAACTTCGAATAGGAATGCAGAAACGAAGAAGTAAGGGCGGCACCCCTGTTTTTCCGAGAAGAAACTGAAAAGGAAAAGGTGAAGAAAAAGGGGGCAGAGTTCTATAGCAGATAAGAACAAGAAACCATGCAGTTGCAGCCCAAAATAAAGAAAAAAAAAGTTTTACATACCTGTCCCTCTGGATCCTCTATTTCTAGTCTCAGTCGCTCTTCCACTTCTCCCCTTCCTTCCCCACCTCGCTTGGAGCTCCTGCCGAGCACCTTACACCTATTGATATAGAAAGGTTGAGCTCAACTTGATTACACTAATATGAGCATATAGAAAAAGAATACGAGATGTCGGCCAAGAAAATAAAGAATCTATTTGAATATCTGGATCAATGGGCTTGATCGTCTGATTGGTTTCACCATTTCTTTCTTCTCCACCTCTCTCTCGACAGTCCACGCTCTTCTTGCCTGAATCCTGAAACCCTTTTTGTTCTCCCAATTTGTGAGAACCGGATTGGACATTGAACCGATAATACTCGCCGTTCCGGGTTGATGGTCAGGTCAGGTTTAATATTATGGGCCATTGGGCTTCTCTGGTTGGGAGGTCCTTGGCTCTCCTTCCAGAGAGCAAAAGAAGAGTGAAGCTGTGAAGGCTTTCGGTTTCGGAACTCGGTATGCTTAAACCCCACCGGGTCAATCAAGTAATTTTATTTGAAACCCTAGAATTTGGAGGGAGGCTTCAGACAGTCTGTGTCACACACTGTAAAGCCGTTGATTTCGTAAAGCTTTTAGAGAAGCATTTCCCGTCGCAATTCATTTCAACTCTCTCTCTCTCTCTCTGGATGGATTGATTTGGGACCTTTCGTTCGTAGTGCTCTGCGTGATGCAGATAGCAAGAGGAGTCACGTTGCCATGCCCCAATAACCAGTATGCCTGACCAGCACCCCTAGCACATAGTTCAAGGACAAAGAGAGTGCAAACTAATCAATACCTATATTATATAGAGGAAAGAGGAAGGCAAAGAATTCTTTTACCTCAATGTTAAGCACCTCTTCCTCTCTTTTCTCATACATGTGGTTTATTTATTTTTAAATTAAAAATATAAAAATCAAATAACTATCTTTTATGAGTAACAACATAAGTTTTATTAAAATAATGAAAAAAGAGGAATTACAAACATGGATAGCCTCAGCTAGCCATAGTGTCAATGCAATACATGAAGAGTAGGCAGTAGGTTATACAATTACAACACACCCCATCCCTAGACTTCGACCTTGGGCCTGGCCATAGACTGAGGTCAAAGCCCAATTTGCCAACTCAAACCCCACCTAAGCTAAACCCACAACTTAGGATGCCTCAGGGTGGTTTAGTAGGCCTTAAGCAGGTTGTTCAAATTTGAAAGTCTTTTCTTTTCAATAAGTAACTTCAGATTTTATTAGKAAAAGTCAATAWATACAAAAATACAAGCATCCCAAGGAGAGGTGTGAGATGCACTTCTCACATAACTCATAAATACAACTGTGGACTGTGGCGAGGGATAAAGTGCTGACAATGGATCATCTCCTGAGTAGAGATTTGCTGGTTGAGAACTGTTGCAGTCACTGTAGGTCCAGCCCAGAATATGCTCCCCATCTTATTTTTTATATATATATATATTATCCAAAAATCCTTCACACCTTCACATTAAGTGTTCCAACTAGCTTAACCATCTTGCTGCCAAAAGAAACCACATTTTGTCTGGGTCACAATAAACATCTCAAAGATAGAAGTATGGACCAACAGATACTCAATCTCTAGGTAGGTTCACAGAGTTGCATGACATGTTTATTTATTTATTTCTCKGAGTCACAATAACCACTGATTCAGTGAGGTATTTGACACCTAAGAACCAAGCCAACTTTTTGCCTGCTTTTGAATCAATGTCAGA